TGATATTAACAAATTGTACCTGAGCTAATGCGAGCGCACTGAGAGGCGTGTCCTCAGCGGGTTTCACAACAATTGTGCAACCAGCTGCCAAGGCTGCGCCAGCCTTTCTTGCAATCATCGCCGTGGGAAAGTTCCACTGAAAGCAAGCTTTGAGATGCATTACCCGAATCTATGATAAAAAGGGCACTGAGATCACACAACAAATAAAACGGATACTCACTGGTGTTATGAATGCAGCAACTCCGATTGGTTCCCTGATATGAATATGTTCCCTATTGAGTACTGAAGGAGTAACGACCTTAGAAGCAGTTGAATTAAGAAGAGCTTCCGTGAAAGAGAAAAACTAATGTAAGGGACGAGGAACCATACCTGTCCATAAATGCGTCTCGCTTCTCCCGAGTACCAGTCGAGAAACCCGGCAGAATACTTGATTTCTCCCCGTGCTTCAGCCAAAGGTTTACCCTCCAATTTACGAGGAACAATATAATCTCCTTATAGGAAAGAATCAAAGGTCATACCTGTTCAAGAGTCAGAAGTTTTGCCAGCTCTCCTTCCTTCTCAACAAATATGTCAAACCATTTCCTCAAGATAGCACCACGTTCTTTTGGAGTTGTTCCTGATGACCACTTTTCAAAAGCTTCCCTGGCAGCGAGGACAGCCTACAAAGATAGCTTTAGACTAATTATATCACTCTTATTCCGACCATTCTAAAGACAAATATAATAATCGTTTCAGGAGATGTCGATTTTACTGACTTGATGGTTTTTCACGCTTTTCGCTCTAGCCCACTGGAATACAGCGCACAAAGGATGATTTTCTGAGTTCGAACATAACAATCACCCTGGGGGATATCAAATGAATTACAAAGTTTCATTTTTTTGCATTTTTCACTAGGATGTTGCAATTAGAGCAGAAGGTGAAGATTTCGCGCATCATTAAAATGACATGTCTTGATAGCTTCTGGACATATCCATAGGCTAATTTCTCAGTCTTCTTAAGTATCTACCCATTCGAATGAGTGGTACTTGTGCCCCATATGTCAGGCCACGCGGCGGCATCGCCTTCCAATCGTGTAGCACGCCTACTGTATTCGTGTTCGTGTAAAATCCGTCTCGCTTGTGCGTTTATAAGGAAACCCTCGACTAAATATGATGCTCGTCCTCGTCACCCTCGTCTACTACAAATCGATTAGTTTCCACAACGAGAACCCGGCATTTTTGGAATAAACGGAAGCAAAAAATGTAAAGTGATTCACAAGTATTGAAGTTGATGATTAGGACGAGCATTGTATTGGTCAAGGACTTCTTATATACTCAGAAGGTTGGAAGGTTAGAAACTCAAGAACACAAACTACATGTAGATGGGCTATATGTTTTAGAGGTGATGCTGCCACATGGGTCGACAAGCACAAGCGTCACTCACTCTTGAATGCTTAAATACTCAAGAATAATGACTTAAATAGACTATGGAAATCTCCTAAGGCTATCAAATAATGGATTATGTTGGTTGATGATTTTAAAAGTCACAATCGTTTGTTAAAATACTGACTGTATACACGACAAATTAGAAAATCGTCTATTTTCATCGATATAACAAAATTTCGTGCCTTTCGCTGTACCGGAAAGTGCATAGGTGTTCAAAGTACTTATAATGTTCATTGATTTTTAGAATTTTCTATTATCGCTTTGTGTTGCTGGGAATTTGTGTAGGGTTAAGAACGTAATAATCAACTTAAAATAGCTTGTAATCAATTGAAATGCTAACAATTGCTTATTGTCTCTAAGTAGTTTCCTTTGCGAAAAATCGTGGCAAAATAATGACATGGAAAGTTCTTGAAAATATTTAGATCCTATTTCCCTTTCCCTAGAGTTAGACCTCAGATTACGCCAAAACGTCACCTATAGGGTTTTTTTTTCAGATGGTGATCAAAAATAATCTATTTTGCGCGGTGGGGTCTTTCTGAGGGTTGAGTGAGTGTACATTAGGCATCAAAACCCCGGATTCGTTTGAAAGTGCATAATGGATTGTTGGATTAGGGTCAAAATTACAATGTCCCTAAACAGCACAAGGAAATGATACTTTTCAAGTCAACACATCTTGCTCTAATTTGCAACAGGATAATGAGGCAAGAAAAAATTCAATAATTTAGATTATCTTTGCAAGCTCATGTGAAAGTAAGCGATTTAGGCTGGAAAAGATAAAGAGGCGCTTTTCATAGTAACTAGTAACTTGCAAAGGGCGAATATAACGGTTCCTTAAACTTGCCGTCTGCTGCGTGAGTCTCCTACATTTCTTAACCAAGAATTGTTAAATCAGCGTTTCTTGAGGATAGTGACGTTAGCAACATGTTCTGCTAAACAGATTTTTACAAATTGTGGTTTCATCTGCATACTTGGTGTGTCAAGAAGCACTAGGCAAGACATATGTATTGATGAGCCATTAAACCTACTAGAGCGTCAGGCTGTTATTCAATTTTGACCCCCCACTCAGCATGCACATAATCCCATTGAATCACCTCAGAATTGAGATTTAAACTCCTAACGTTCTCCAAATATCCTCAAGATGAAGCTGCGTAACGCATGTCATACCGTAATTCGCATTTCAAATAAACTTTAGCCAAAGGCAGCTACTTTAGAAGTATCGCACCGTTAGGCCTAAAGTACGATAGCCCCAATCATATGTGCGATAAGGTGAACACTGGCCCTCCTGGGTGAAGGGGGTCAAAAAAACTTTTACCTCTCTAGGTGAATGAGGTCGTTGACCGGGATAGGGAGGGGGCAATCTCCACCTACCACTAAAGTTTCTATGCAAAGTTTGTTAAATTAAATCATTAAGGAAATGAAAGATTTGTTAAAGAAGTAAAAAAAAGATCTTAACGCCTATTTGCAGATCCTTTGCCGAATACAAGACAGAATGCGAATGATGATGATAAATATACATTTTGAGTATTTTT